CCCTAAAGTCGGAGAGGAGTGAATTCCATCTTGTGAAGTTATGTTCCCAGCTCCCCACTCGGTCTCGTCCCCAAAATGGTAGGAATGTTAAGTCGACAACTTGGGCCACTCTCACCCATACTGATCAAAGGACGAGCCCTCACGGGCAGGAGTCCATAACTCACTCAGGATTGAGAATGAGTTGCTTGGTCATCCTAAGAAACAGCAATCTATTAGTTAACACTGTTACATCTAAGGATTGGCTATTTCGTGGTCCGGTCTTATACAAACTCATTGTATAGGATACCTCCACTCGCATGTCTCCACACGAACGACTTGGATCGAGTCGTCTGTAACCTTTACAGAGTGGGCCGTATCCATAGTGTTGCTAGGATAAGGTACTCTGCCTTATCCATATACTATAGACCCTTTAGGTTATTCACGGGACATTATCCACTTGTATATCAGGGTATATCGAATATATACCCAGTACATATACTGTCTCGGTTACACTAAAATAACCTCAGATGTTTAGTTTATTGGATTTTGGACAACGCAATGCTATGAATTCAACAACAAATTTATTGAATAAAAGTTTATTGAATATACATTTGTTTTTACACAAAATACAAACTACGAGTTTAGGGCAACACATCCAACAAACCCACCCCTTGCATTTTGGAACAAATTGAAAATTAAAATCAGAAACAAGAAACTTGTTTTTATTATTATCAAAATTTCTATACCATTTTGAGAACTATTTATGTTTCTTATTTCTCATTTTTTTATAAATAATCTCAAAATGGTATAGAAATCTTTGTAAATAATGATAACAAGTTTCTTATTTCTTGTTTTAATTTTCTATTTGTTCCAAAATATATATGCTTTTATCATTCTTGAATCCATTAGCATTGAGGCTATGAAAGGAAACAAAAATAAAAAATGAGAATGTTACAAAACAGACCTTTGGTCAGTATTGTCCAAAACATAAATAAAAGCATCACTTTATTGCATAATAAGTACTTAAAAATTACATATAACATAAAATTTGAATATTTAATTAAAACAATGGATTCTCACATAAAATTTTTTATTTACTTTTATAATTTTAAATTTTAAATAACAATAAATGAAAAAAAAATTACTAAATATATTTTGTTTTTCAATTAAAAATTTAACAAGAACCGAGATAAACAGTTACTAAACAAAAGGAAAATAAGATATATTATTTAAAAAACAGTTGCACTGATTTTTTCTCCCCTTCTAGAAACGGCTCCCAAACAGTTGTAAAAGATTATATGACATGTTTTCTAAAACAATTATTTGGGTAAAAAAGTAATTTCCTAACCATGTACTGTTTGGTTGATTTTGGATTTTATTAAGTTAAAACTTTAAACTCGAATAATCGATGAGTTAAATTTCTATTAGAAAAAGAGGATTTGAAGCTAACTATGAACATTTTTTTAAAGTTTAGATGTTTTTTAGCTAAGACTTGAGCCTTTTAATTTGTTACTAATTTTGAGTACATATTATTATTATTATTTTTTATATATAAAATACTTTTATCAGTACAGGCTTAATTTAGTAATAGACGTGTATACATTCGATGAAAGTGAAAATTCAGAGTTAAAATTGAATCATTGGCAAAGTTAATAAGGAGGTAAAAATGAGTTTTTCCAATATTTTTTCAAGGATAAGTCCTTTTTTTTCTTTTTAAATGATAACTGTTTATTCTGTTTACAAAAAGTTAGGACATTATTTTGAAGTGCAATATAACATTAAATTTTATACTATTGATTGGAATAGTTTTAAAAACAAAAATAAAAAAAACAATAAACTAATCTCAAGGGAGTCTTCTAACAACATCATAACATATTGAGAAATCAAATGAGAAAATAATTAAACTTTAATACCTTCTTGTTGCTTCTCTCTACTTTATAAAAGGAAAGACC